CCAATGGCCACGATCTCTTGGGGGGGGGAGCAATAATATTTATCTATTGTACAGTTATGCAAACCATTTACCAGCTGTAAAAAATAATAAAAATGCATCTGCAGTATACACACACATCAATGCATTTATAGACATCTTAATTTGGCACCGCATTCAAACTAAATTTTGATTGAGATTTTTATTTATTTGTTTCTAATCTTGTAACCTTGTTGGAAACCTTTGTTAAATCAGCACACATTCTTTGTTTAATTTTTACTGGAATATTATTAATATCTTAACAGTCGTCTTTCTATTCAACAGTTCCACTGTAGGTTTTTTAATTGAGACAAACCTTTGGTAAAATATTTTAACTTTTCGTTAGATCTGTTTAAAAAACAGTGAAAACATTCTGGTTTTGTTCCATCTTAATTCCGTCATTTCTGTTGCAAAACGGAAATCCGGATTATATATACATTATATATATATATATATATATATTATATATATACATCATATATTTATATATACACACTAAATATATATATTTGGTTTGTCTGTTTAACCTGTTTGTTTGTATCCAATAATCGATATGACGAACACAAATATTTTATTTTGGTAATTCTAATTAATTAGGGTTCATGGCCCATCGAAATTGAAATATTTTGTCTCCGAAAAAAAGTAAATTTTTTTTTTAAAACTCCATCAAGGTATACAGAAAAGTCTACCAATATTTAAAGCTTAATCGAGTGCAAAGAAATGTTGCGGCTTGAAAAAGGTTTGGCAACAAAGAATCTTCGTGAATTTTAACCCTCTCTCTCATATACTGTGTTTGATTCCCATTCCAGGGATAAAAATTAATATTTGATTGTTGTTTTGTAACCTCAGGTCCAGTCTGCTTCCACCCTGCTCAACACAAGATAGCAAAAATAAAACTTTTCATTTTAAAATAAAAAGTTCTAAAACCAATATTTAAAAAAACAACTTTGTTTTTTTGAAAGAAGTTTGAAGTGAAAGCACTCAGAGTTCCCTATCAGACACAAATTAGTTTTAATCTTTTACATGTTGAGCATTTTACATGAAAATATAAATGTGAAGATAGATACAAAAATTCATTAATCATTATGGATTTATGCTAAACATTTTAGAGATAACATAAAAAGACAGGTTTTGCCAGAAAATCTGATTTCCTAATCTTTATATCTTTGCAACCTGATGTCTTCGACTTTTGATATTTCTTTCTATAATGAATGTTAAAGTTTTTCACCATCAAGGTTCTCGATATACTTAGGGATTTGATGTTGTGGCAAAAACTCAATTCGTTGGTCCGCAATTGTGAAAAATTGCTTTTGGTGCGAACACTAGGAACAAGTGTATTAAAATAATTGTAACCTTTGTGTACTTAACTTTATAGAGCACTCTATTTATCTAATACCTCTATTAGTGCACAATCAAAGAACTGTGCTATAAATCTACCAAACTTTCTCACGGGCAGCCGTAGTGCATTTGAATTTCCGAGCCGGGTCAACCTTTCCGGTCCCTGTTTGTACTGTAGCTTGCTCTATGGACAGGAATAGCCGGTGCAATAAGGTTATGCTTCATAGAGTTTGGATTTACTTTTACTAAAGGGGCAGATTTGCGTGTTCTATATACAAATGTTTTAATTGAATTTTGGCCACTTCTTTGCTCTTGAAAAAAATGTACGCGTACACTATCAAAAAATAACAATACAATATTTGTGTGTAGAGAGTGTAGAAGATATTTTTGAATTTGACCAGCCCAGGAGAATGAATTTTATACTAAAGAAATCTGACTGAAGTCTTGCAAACATAAAATTACAAATATAATTTAATCATTTACAACAATGGGATAAAAATTAAACAATTTTCTAATATTTTTGTTTGGAGAAAATAGATTTAAATGGGGTTGTTGCAGTAATAATTATTCTAAAAGTTTTGGCATAATAGTGTGTTTGCGCTTCTTTGCACCAGGTAACTCATGCAAACATTTCAAAACTTTAAACCCTGGAGGTAAAACTTAAATGAATAAATTGAGTTGAAATACAAAAATTTCAACATACATTTAGAATTAATTTCCTTTACAATATAGCATAAGTATATGAATTCAAATTTGCAATAGTCCTGGGATTTCCAAAATGGTGGCAACTAAAAAAGCTAAGCTTGACATAAAAAAACCTAAATGTTTTTATTCTATTTTCAGAAAAATGTGGAAATACTATCAAATATTTCAAGTTGGAATTCTTATTCAGATTCCAGGTAAGAAAACGCCTGAAGATTATTTTACATTTTATTTAGCAAAAAATCTTGAAAAATTATTAATAAATTATCCACTAACTAAAAGATATCACTTAAATTGTGCAATTTTGCGCATATATTGTATGAAAAAGTGGATGCGCTAAATTTTATACTGAATTTAGATTTGAAAATCCGGTTAAAAATGTTTGAAAACTAACTTTAACCTAAAACCATGAATTCAACTACCTATATATATTTACACTAAATGGTCCTTGAATTAAATTCAACATAAATTTACTTTTTTTTTAAATAATAAAATTCAAAATTTTGGCAAAAGTTTTTACAAAATGTTGATCAAGAAAAATATTAAAATAATATGTGTACCATGTTTTATAAAAATCTATTCAACTACAAAAGTTACACAGTTTTACTTAATAATAATATATATATTATATATATAATATAATAATAATTAATATATTCGATTTTTACTATAAATTTGAAATTCTATATTATCTACTTGTTAAAACAAATCGCACTGAAATAAACATTTAATTGTTAAGAAAAATATTATCTTCTCAAGAAAACCAATATATTTAAATCATTATTTTACAAATAAAAAGTTTAGTAAATAATGATTTTTCTGCAGTGCAGTGATCAGTACAATTTATTCAGTGGGGATAAAAGTGCCGCAGTGACAGACAAATTTTAAATTATCTTGTCACTTTCATGATACCATGATACCATGATACCATGATACCATGATAACATGATACCATGATACCATGATACCATGATACCATGACACCATGATACCATGATACCATTATATCATGATAACATGATACCATGATAACATGATACCATGACACCATGATACCATGATACCATGATACCATGATACGTTGATACCATGATACCATAAAATCATGATACCATGATTACATGATACCATAGTATCATGATAACATGATAACATGATACCATGATACCATAATACCATGATTACATGATACCATAATATCATGATAACATGATACCATGATACCATGATACCATGATTACATGATACCATAATATCATGATAACATGATAACATGATACCATGATACCATGATACCATGATATCATGATACCATGATTACATGATACCATAATGTCATGATAACATGATAACATAATACCATGATACCATGATACCATGATACCATGATACCATGATACCATGATACCATGATTCCATGATACAATAATACTATCTTAATTAATGTTATTAATGGTGTGTCCCAATCTTGGAAATAATGTGTAAATCAGATAATAATACAAAAAGATCGTTTATTATCATGTAAAATTGATGTGGGATATTTTAGTAGATATTTAGACTACGTTTCAAAATCATTAAACACATTGCAGATTGAATTTCATATTGCCCTAAAGAATGTGATTTTGGGTTTCAAATTTGTTTAAAAATTTAACTCGAAATATAAAAGATATAAGACACATTTAAAAAAAATGATTATTTATTCTGTAAAATAATAACATAAAATACTGCGTAATATAAGTAAAACAGATTGGACAACATATATTGATATTCCAGGGTTCACAGGACTGGGAGTAAATAAGTCTAGCTTGCAGGTAATAAACCATCTAACAAAGATACAATAATATTGTTGTTAATATGTATGATTTGACTAAACTATAATTTGTCCAGTTAAAGGTCTATAGTCACGCGAATTTAAAAGTTTGGCCCTCTTCACAGCAGGTTCTGACTTTCGATCACAATTTGTCCTATTACACCTTTTTTTGCCTTTGCTCTTATACACTTTTGTGTCGGCATGTACGTTTGAAATGCGAGAGCATAAAAGACAACTACGTAATTTAAAGAATTTAAGGAGACCAAACCGCGATTGAACTCAAATAGAAGAAACCGAATGCATCTCGTCCTGGTTAGTCCAGGGTGTAGTATGTTTGCAGATTGTAAAACTTTCTTTTGTCACCTAAAAGTCGGTTGGGCCCTTCAAATGAACATTTACCCTAGTTTTATTTTCCTGTGCAGTGAATGTCTATTAAAACATGTCTGTTAGGCTATATATTGTCGTTTAAGGAGTAGGAAGTAGGAAGTCGTGGTTAAATTATCTAAAAAATACAACTAACAAGTTTCTTTTCTCCATGAATATTGAATTCGGTAATATATATTTTAAGGAAGTGAAGTCTGAGAAAGAATTAAATCTCTGCAGGGATTATAAGAAAATATGATTTTAGTTTTCAACAAATTTCTTGTAAAAGGATTACGATTATGTTTTGACTTTCCCGAAACCTTCTTTAGGGTCATGTGAATTTTGAGGCCTAATCGGTTCAGACCTTTTGGTGTTCATTGGTAACAAATAGACCCAAAATACAAACTGTTGCATGATCCAAACCATTACAAGGATACCGATCTAGTGTTTACTCGTCTATTGTACCCTACAACAAAAGAAGGCAGGCAGATCCACAGTGAGACAAGAGCTCGACACATTATTTAGATTAGTGAAGAGAGTCAATGAATTAGAACCCAGTCTACCAACTAAATATGTATGTGGTAAATGCCCTACTCCATAAAGGGATCTCCAACCCGTATCTTTCCAGGTACAATTCGTCAGCTATCAAGATCAACACAGACACAAGCTCTTAATCGATCAATGCCAAACCAATGGGCACGATCTCTAACGCTATCAATATCAATTGGGAGCTTGTAACTATCAATGCCAAACCAATGGCCACAATCTCTTACGCTATCAATATCAATTGGGAGCTTGTAACTATCAATGCCAAACCAATGGCCACGATCTCTTACGCTATCAATATCAATTGGGAGCTTGTAACTATCAATGCCAAACCAATGGCCACGATCCTCAACCTGATTATCAAAACAGGGAATGATAACTCTTTCGCAGTAAACAGTTCGGAGTCTCTATATCAACTAATGTATTTCTAGATGTTAGATTAGAGTTAGGTCTTAACACCGTAATTACAAGTTATGCGCTGTTAAAGATATATAACGTAGTTTAGCAATCACAATATGGGTTTGACGGAGTTATATATTTGCGTATCTCAATTGGGTTAATCGCAATACATGATGTATTTACTAATGAGCACATTTAGCTTAGGGACAATGTACAATGTAATTTACTGTGTGGCCTCTATATTTTATTATATATATTTAGGTTGGTGAGAAGAGTCCCTGGATTAAAACCTAGTCTACCAACTATACCAACTATACATTTATGTATATATATTTAGGTTGGTGAGAAGAGTCCCTGGATTAAAACCTAGTATACCAACTATACATTTATCACCCTCAACTAAGCTCTCGTTGTATTCTGCAGTAATTTGCAGTACACTGACCGAAGATATAGTAGCGTTTAGTGGAGGGTGATATATATATATATATATATATATATATATAGGTTAGGGAGGAGAGTCCCTGGATAGAAACCTAGTCTACCAACTATATATATAGGTTAGGGAGGAGAGTCCCTGAATAGAAACCTAGTCAACCAACTATATATAGGTTGGGGAGGAGAGTCCCTGGATTAAAACCTAGTATACCAACTATATATTTATATATATATATAGGTTAGGGAGGAGAGTCCCTGGATAGAAACCCAGTCTACCAACTATAGAATGGAGCAGGGAGGAACTGCAGTTCTAAACTGTAACGTCAGGTAATTAAAGGGATCGTTCCCACATGTTAAAATATTTAAAAATTTAAATAACATTTTTTTAAAAATTTATTTCTTTTTTCATGTTTATGAAATAGATTGTGTAAGACTTTTTAAGAATGCAAATGCTGATTTAATTTTTAATTTCCTCTACTCTTGCCACACTTCTGCGACCTTCTTATGGTTTGTCCTCGTAATATCGCCTTGCATGATTTCTGACAGAAAAACTATTTTGTTCAGACGAAGCTCTGAAGGGTTGTGAATCATTCATGCCCGCTGACAAAATGTAGAGTCACCTGTACGCTTACAGTCGACGAAATTGTACAAAATGAAAATGCAAAATTGTATTTTTAAAAAACCGGCACATAACACATTTTTTTTATATTTTTTATTTGAGAGTACTGTTGGACATCTAACAAGATATAAGTGACACATGAACTGAGGATTTGCAGAAAAAGAAAATATTATTATTTTCAACAGATTTTTTATTTTTCTGAAAAGAAATAAAAATACATTTTACAATTTGCTTCAAGTACTTAGTAGAAAACCTGTAAAATCTAAAAACTTTGTTTTTTTTATTATTATTTTTTTGTTGAATCAAAGTCGCTTTGTTTCTTTTGTCCGATAGACTGTGTATTAAAATAGTATCGGGAACCAATTCTTTTAAATATTGGTTAACAATATTTTTAAGTAAAACGATAAAACTCTAAACCAAAGACCGCTGAAAATATTCAAGCAAAAAATCTTAATAAAAATGACGGGAATACTAAAGATTGTGAAAATATCTAAATTAAAACTAATCAACCAAAAACTATTTATCTATATAAATAATATAAATAATTTGCTTGTCTGTTTGGGTTTTTGTTTGTTTGTATCCAATAAACGTCAAAAGGGCTTAACTTATCAGGCCCAATTTTTTTGTGGGACCTCACAAGACCCCGGAGAGGATATATAACTGATTTTAAAAATTAAACTCTAACATAAATCGATTTCCAAAAAATTAAAAATCCACAATTTTTTTTAAAATCCGAGATTTTTTTTGCTTTTGTTTTACAATGTACTAAAAGAGAAAATGTTTACAATTGAAAGACTAGTAAAAATATTTTAATTAAGAACTTATGAACCGAAAACCATAGAAAATATCTAAATTAAAACTTATGAACTAAAAACCATCGAAAATATCAAATATGAAACTAATGAACCAAAAACTAGCTTAAAACTGAACCAAAGAACTGTAAAAATATTCGAAACGGCAAGACTGAACAAATAACTGTCAAAATAATCTAAATCTCAGACTTAACTGACTGACGACAACCGAACTAAAAACTAGAAACTAAAATGAAAAAAGTTAAATTATTACAAAAGTTTTGAAAAATTTTACTGTGAAGATATGTCTGAAGTCTGGAAAGGAATGTATGTGAAAACTTTTAAATTATGCAAATAATATTAATGCATTCAAACCCGCCCCCTCACCCCACCTTCAATCTTCAGGTCCTCTGAAGTCTGAATGATGGCTTGCATTGGCTTAGATTTTAAAGCAGAGTTTGTTTTCTCAAGTTAAAACTTAAACTAAAAAATTTATGACCGAGGATAAATTACAGCAAGAGAACAAAAATTCAAGTTAAATAAATCCAATTCAAAGTTGTTTACATTTTCCCCTAAGGCTTTTGAAGCTGCAAAAATATGTATTTTGCAATTTTGATTGCGCAGTTTTGTACAACTTAAAATCATGAAATGAATGAAAACATTCCAAAAGTAATGAAAAATAAATAATATAACATATAAATGGCACAAAAACCTTTATATCATGATACATCTGTTTTTACAGTAATTCAGTGTTTCGGAAGAAAAAATGTGCATTCATCAGTATTTGGGGATTCCAATCAAAGTTCTTTGAAAAAGGTTTATTTTCTATGATTTCAGCGAAAAATAATTTATTTATTTTGGAAACAAATTATTCAGTTGTATCTAATCATTTATTCAGTATTTTCCACTTATTTTGATAAAAATTAAAGATTACTTTAGTTCAGAAAGAGTTGTAACAGTAACGAGTATAGATATAATTATGACGACAATACGTATACTCGATATATCATTTAAAATTTGATTTGTAAAACAACATTTTTTATCTTAAAATTTTCCTAAACACCTTTACTTTTTCTAAAAGTCTTCATCCTACATAGAAAACTCTTTATTTTCCTAATTTTTTTTTTTTTTTTTGAAATCTTTACTTTTTTTTCTATTAACCGACTATTTTGTATAAATCCAAAATTGTTTAAACAATACAGCTCTATCAGATTAGTTGGTTTATTCACAGTTCTTTCATCATTTTAAATTAATGAAATTAAATTTAAACGAGTATTTAGTTTATTTGGCTGCTGATGGAGGGGAGGGGGGGTTGGGATCACGCGTTTATTTAATATTGATGGGGGATAATTAAATAATGATTTTTTACAGTTTTGTAAATATTTCCCCTATATATCCCTAAAACGTTATAAATTTATAAATTTAATTTCTAATTAAGTAATTCTAAATTAAGATGAATGGATGTTGAATACTTTCGGAAGAGAAGTACTTTAAGAAGCTTTAATACTTTGCTCTCAGTTTTACCACAGCTATTCAATACTTTTTCAACAGTAAGACACTATAGATAGACATGTATTTGCCAATAAGGGAAAAAAATAATTGACATATTTAAAAAAAAAGATGACGAGAAAAGCTCATATTGAGTTTAGAAATATTGGAGCTTCTTAAATTTTAAAGAAAATTAAAGATGGTCGAAAGGGGGGGGGGGGTGTTTAAAAAAAACTAAAATAGTCTATAACTTTTCTGATTTGTTTGAGCTACAAATAAAAATTATATATTGGAAAAGTCCCTGGAAAAAGGTTGTAGGAACACGAGTCTACATTTAAATATGAGGTAGACTTGTAAATATATCATTGAACGTGCATTGCACATCCAGACCTTTACTAAAAAGCATTTTCTAGGGAGGGGCCTAATTTATTAAATTAATAAACAAACTTGAATTTAAGAAATTAAGAATCTCACACGGTATGGATTTAAAGTATTATCAAAAAAATTGCCACAAACTCAGATTTTCTAATCATATATCTTTGCAACCAAATTTCGAAGATCTTACATATTTCAAACTATGAATTCTGTTGGGTCAAATTATCTAAGTTTGAAATATCAAAGGTTTACACCATATGGTTCCCAAGATATAGGGATTAGAAAATTTGAGTTTATGTCAAATATTTTGTAAAAATAAAATATGTCCATTAAAGAAGGAATGTGTTCAGAAACCTGGGGAGTATGATAAAAGTGTGGAGAAATGGGACCAGGGTAATCTATGTTGGTGATATTAAGGTTAGTTTAAGAACTTTTAAAAAGTTTACTCACCACAAATTATAATCTTTTATTCCTATTTCCTTGCAACCTGATGGTGTAAACCTCTGATAAATCAATTTAGACTAATTGATCTAACAAAGTGCATAGTATAAAATATAAAAGGTTTAGGACGATAATTATTACTATAGTTTAGGTTAGGATGAAATCTAGGACAGGAATTATTCCGTGCGTAAATATATTCATTGATAGTAATAATATTAATCTGAAAGAAAAGGAATGTTTCGGAATATTTTTCTAATTCTTCCCCCCCCCCCCCAAAAAAAAAAGTCTGACAGGAGGAAAATTAATATTTCTGAATTTCCAAAAGAGAATGATTAAGTTACTCGTCTTTGTCTGACTGACAGGAAGGTCCGGAACAAATTATATCAATAAAATATTTATCAACCAGGAACATTTTTTCACTTTCACAACTTTCTCACATCAATTCAATGCTCTTACATTTCTATTCTATTGATAAAAGTGTGTAGATTATATCTTAATTTGATCGTGTTGCGCTTCAGTTGGGAGTTTATGATTTTGAACAAGAAGTTGAACTAGCTACGGTTGGAAAACTACTTTTCATGTGCCGTCGAAATCAAATAGCACCACCTCTTTGGTTCCGGTTAATAGTCAACCGCATCTTAGTCACTGGTATAATCTGATCACCTCTATTTCAAATTGAGTACCATTATGGTATAAGTTGACCAACTCTGTAGTATAAGATGAATACCTCTTTGGTATTTTAGTTGATCACCTCTTTGGTATAAGTTGACCACCTTTTTAGTTTATGTTGACCACCTTCTTGGTATAAGTTAACCACCTCTATGGTATAAGTTTACCGACTCAATGGTATAAGTTGACCACCTCTATCGTATAATTTTACCACCCCTATGGTATAAGTTGACCACCTCTATCGTATAAGTTGACCACCTCTATGGTATAAGTTGACCACCTCTATGGTATAAATTTACCACCTCTATGGTATAAGTTGACCACCACTATGGTATAAGTTGACCACCTCTATGGTATAATTTGACCACCACTATGGTATAAGTTGACCACCTCTATGGTATAAGTTGACCACCACTATGGTATAAGTTGACCACCTCTATGGTATAATTTGACCACCACTATGGTATAATTTTACCCCCTCTATGGTATAAGTTGACCACCTCTAAGGTATAAGTTGACCACCTCTATGGTATAATTTGACCAGCACTATGGTATAAGTTGACCACTGTTTCGTCGAGATATGATATAAAATATCGTTAATCCCAGAAAATCTGTTCTTGATGATATAAGTCTCGTAACCTCGGTTGGACTGAACTAGATGAACGATCTCGTCATTTTACTACAATATATCACGATCCAAGTTCAAAACTATAAAATAAGATATCCGTCAGTACAATTCTAAAAATCCAAACCCTGGACCGTCGCGCAACACACAATTTATCAATCAAAAAGGTTTAGTTCTGCGTTTTGGGTAAATCATGCATACTTTAAGTAACATAAATTTAAACATAAATCATCACACTCTCACCATGTACTCCTCCGTCTCCGTCTCAATTTGGTAGCCTAGACTAAACTCCGATCCAGCTTATACCAGTTAATTCTGAAACGAATCGGACCTTGAATAACTTTCCTCCCGTCGTATCACGTATAAACGATAGATCTTCAAGTTCAAATTACACCGTAAAAAACTAAAAATATCAATAACTAAAGGACTCAAATAAATCAAAACAAAAGGTCTCGTACTAAAGCGGCGTGGATACGGATCCCTGGCCGTGTCTACCTCTGATTCACACCGCGGTAACCTTCAAATCATATCTTTGGCTTGGTTTGGCTCGGATACTCTTTCCGGTCCCTGGAATCCTTGAATCCACTAAATCTCTATGGTTTAAGTTGACCATATTTATGGTATAAGTTAAGATGGTATAAATTGACTGCCTATTTGAGTTATCTATCGAATTTACCCAGCTTGCTGATTATAGTTGACCACCTCTCGGGTTATAGTTGAAACTCTCTGGTAACAGTTTTGACCACCTCTCGGGTTATAGTTGACACTCTCTGGTAACAGTTTTGACCACCTCTCGGGTTATAGTTGACACTCTCTGGTAACAGTTTTGACCACCTCTCGGGTTATAGTTGACACTATCTGGTAACAGTTTTGACCACCTCTCTTGATAATGTTTATAGTTACCTCTCATGTTTAAATCCCGGTCGATGACTATCTCGTTACTAGTTCAACTTCTCGTAACTAGTTCAAATATACGTAACTAGCTCAACTACTTGTTTAAATAATCATAATAATAGTTCAACTACTCAGCACTAATTTAAATACTCGTAACTGTTTAACTACTTGCAATTAGTTCAACTGCTCGGCACTAGTTTAAATACTCGTCAGTAGTTAAACTTCTCTTCATTAATAAACTCCGACCTCTGTTCAGCTATAATTCGGCTCTGCATAGGCGTTATCAAATTTTAAATTTCAAGATTGCCGATTCAGGTTTACGTACGATGACTCTTGAATTCCAACTTTTCATTCGCAAACAAAGGTTTCTCCGGCATTAAAAACATTTTTCTTAACTTTTCTAAATCGTTTGATGTTGAAATTTTCATAAAAATAAAATTTCACAGCACAGAATCGAAAAAAATGGTCGATCTTTATTTGTTTACAGAATGATTAAAATAAACTTCATAAAATATTTAATTTCTTTTATTTTAGATTCGTAATGATCCTCGGATATATTTGAACACGACCAGTCTCATAATTCAAGGCAGATTTCTGAAAACAATTTACCTACTTAATAAGAAATTTTATTAATTCTCGACATTTGAAAATATCAATTTTACAAGCTTTAATTAAAAGATTAATTATAGAAAAATAAATCATTATTTATAGCAATAGATTAAACTTTAAAGGGAGTATAATAAACATAATTTCAAGTGACCTTTCATTAATAGACCGGCATTCAGAGCATTAGTCTTTGTACTTATTGAAGTTAGCTGTCTGCTTATTGAGATATCCTTATTTTTCAAGCTAAAAAGAAAATTATTTTCAATAGTGATTTCTCGCGAATTTTTCTATAGTTAAACTAAGACAATGTAGGAAATTGTCAAACTTTAACATGCCAATCTTTTAAAAGAAGGGTCACATGCGATTTCGTTTCTAGTCCCTTTAAAGAATGTTTCTAGTCCCTTTAAAGAATGTTTCTAGTCCCTTTAAAGAATGTTTCCATGGGTTTGGTTGGTAGGTGTGACTGTGTGGGATAGTGGTTGGTATTATTGCGAGCTAGAAAATGATATTGATAATCCTGTCACCCTTAAACATAATCTACAGGTTACAGGTACATACATCTCAAATATAATCTACAGGTTACAGGAAGATCTAATTTATTTGAAGTTACTAAAACGACTTTGTAATCTCGTCGCTCCACCAGTTTTTAGGCCTAAGTATAAAATAAACTTTATTTAGCTCTTAAATAAAGAGGAGAGCTATGATTAAAAACATGTAAGAACCAAATTTAACACAAGAGATATATCAATTGAACGATGCCATTTTTTCATTAAAAAAAATAATTTTGGACATATTTTTAGAATTAAAGGAACAAAAATAAAACTTTTTTGGATCACTGAAAGAACCCATCTTGCTTGAGTCAAGCAGTTTCTTCGCCCGACTCTTTTTGTGTAAATAATAAATAAGCAGAAATGTCCTGAAAATCTGATGTCGCAAAAAACTATACAAAATTATCTTCTTGTTTTTTTATATCTTTTGTCAATCTATCCTAGAGCCTCCGGCAATAGAGGACGAGGATGAACGACAGTTGACCTCTATCTCCGGGTCAACCATTAGCTTGAGTTGCCGGGCTGCAGGTCACCCTGCTCCTAACATTACCTGGAGTAAAGAAGGAAAAAGGTAAACAATTTTTGAGATCCAAAAGAAGAGGAACTAAAATTTTGTCACAAACTCAAATTTTCCCCATTTATTTGTAATCTGATGGTGTACATCTTTAACATTTTAAATTTCGACCTTTTGATCTGTTGAAATATCAAAGAGTTTCCGACATCGGACATACGAATGAAAAAAAGAGTTTGTGACAAAACTCATTTCCTTAGTTTATTTATTTGTGGTACAGATATAAACGTTACTGATTTGATGTAGTAAATAACGTCAAAAATTAAAATATTTTGAAAATTTGTTTTTCTGACGTACAGACAGGATTTGAGAAATGTTATTTGTCCAAAACTGTATTCAAGCCCGAATCTGTCAAAATTCTATGAAACATAAGATTAACATAAGAAAAGTTCCAATAAAAGGGAGTGACCGGCTATGTCAGGTAGTTGAACGAGTATGCAGTGTTGTGGAAAACTTCTTTAGGATTCATTTGAGACATACTAAATTTTTTAAAGATCTGTAAATCCCGAGTTTGAGCGCAAATTCGACGTTTAAAACTCCTTCTTTGGGGGTGGATACGTTTTCAGAATTAGTTTTTTTTAAATTATTAAATAACGACGACGACGACATTAAATGTAAAAAGTTCTTCAATAAAGTAATATGTTCCCAACCATCTAATTAGATTACAGTGTGATTTTTACTTAGTTACTTAGTAATTTAAAAAAACCGATTCTGAAAACGTATTCATCCCCAAAGGAGGAGTTTTGAACGTCTAATTTGCGCTCAAGCACAGGATTTACAGATCTTTAAAAAGTTTAATATGTCTCAAATGAATCCGAAAGAAGTTTTCCACAACACTGCATACTCAGTTTAACTACCTTACATAGCCGGTCACTCCCTTTAACCAGGAAATCAAACCTTTTTCTTTCCCCACCTTTTAAAATGAGTACGTACCCTCCCTTTAACAGTTTTTTTACAATGTAAATTCCTCCTCGACTAGATTTATTATTCCTTCTAGAAAACTTTACCAATTTGTTCTGTTCTCCCATTAAAAGTCAAGTTTTGTATTTCCTGCAAAAAAAAAAACAACCTTCGTAAAAATATTATTCCATATCACTTTATTTTACTCTTGTGTTCTTTGATATTAAATAAAAAAAAATTTACTCAAATTTGAATTTACAAAAAAAACAATATTTTTTTTAAGGAATTGAGTCTTTGTCACAAACTTTTCTAATCCCTTTATCTTTACAACCTTAGATATGTCAAACTTAGATTTTTGAACTAACAGAATTCATAGTTTGAAATATCTAAGTTTTACGACGTTGTGTTACAAAGATAAAGAGATTAGAAAAACAGAGTTTGTGGCAAAGACTTAATTCCTTTGTATTGTTAATTCGATGTTCTTTTCCTAAAAGTTATTCTTTTTTTTAATTACTCTGCGAATAAAGCAAGAACACATTTGTTAGCTTAAAGGGAGTGTTCGCGAAAAATGGAAGGGGGTATAGGCTTACGGTGAAATATAAGCGCTTTTGATCGCTACTAATCTTTCTTCTCTCTGTTTCCACTATAAGGAGAAAATTGTTAAAAAGTAAGATCAGTAGCAATCAAAAGCGCTCATTTTTCGCCGTAAGCCTATACACCCTTTCATTTTTCGCGAACACTCCTTTTAACAAAAACTAATATGATATAAACTGATGAGTAGTCCCTTTATAGTTTGATTTCCTTGAAACTGGTTCTTTAACTGTGTCCACGAACAAATCCTTTCTCTGAAATTAAATCAATTTATCAGATGGATTAAATTGCCAAGAAAAAAATATTTAAGGTCCGAGATCCTGGGTCATGGACCAGAGCTGACACTTACTCAAATAGGACAGTTTAAACAGAAATGAACGTACTTTAGATACATAAAATATATTTATATATATAGTTTTTAGCGGTTGCATTACATATACTAGCTAGCATGTATGCATATATAGAGAAAAGATATAGAGAAAATTAAACTGATAAACCGCCTTAATATTATAATAATATCTAAAAAATATAATGGCGTAGACTTTAATCTCATACTGCTTGATCAAATACTTAATATTTGAAATATAAATGGGTTACACCATTATGTTACAAAGATATAGGACTGGAAAATTATAGTTTGGGGCAAGTTCCTGTAATGAATGACAGGGAATTAATTAAAGTATGGAGGTAAACAATCTTAATGCTTAAAATAAAACCGCAATTTCCATTCTAACTATATAATATTGTAAAGGCATACACAAGGTGATTAAGCTTCTCTAGGACTCTCTTTGATGTGTTAAAACTGTTAGTCGCAAAATATATTTCAAACCTGAAACAAGGATGATTTAATTACAATGTTTCTGGAGTTACAAAATGCGAGTATTTGTTTTAACAAATGGTAAAGGATACAGTTTAAGGTTGTTGAATGAGCGGAGTAAATATTTATAAACTGATAAGTTGATACTATTGAAATAAAGTTCCGAACATTGTTTGTTGCTAGTATTATGATTGTATTTGAAAGGGTAACTTACTATTAGGTCTTAACACACTCGAAATAGAGAGGTGATTGATTTGTGACTAAAACATAATTGTCTTCTGAAAATAATTGCTTGTTTAAAAAAAAAGAAGAAAGATTGTTTTCACTTGGAATTTTAACTTATTTCACTTTAACATGAGCGGTTTTGGTACACAATCGAGTATCAGGGTTGGGGGGGTTGGGTTTGGTGTGTATGTCTCCGTCAGAGAAATAAATCCTTGGCAAACCTGTTAAAGACGACTTTCAAAGGCTCTGGGGAGTTTAAAATGAATTTGTTCAACAAATATATATAGTTGAAATATCTGTTTGTCTCTCTGTTTGTCCAATCATAACTCAGGAACCCCTCAACCGATTTGCCTCAAATTTTGATTGGGGGAGCTCTAGAGTGAGTTGAGTGAGTCGGCTTTTTTAGCAAAAATCTAGTTTCCCGATAAAATCGTTAAAGTGGGGTTAAACGGCGGGAGTAACTTTTAGTAACCTGGGAAGCGCTGGATTCCCGAGCTAGTCTATAATATAAATAAACTGTTATCCATGTACTTTACTTATCTGTCTGTCTCTTTGTTTGTTTGTATCCAATAAACGTCAAAACTGCTAAACCGATCGTGCTAAAATTTTGTGTCGGACCACACAGGAAGGATGTGGATGCCTAAAATTTCAGAGAAGGATGTGGATGCCTAAAATTTCAAAAATTAGCCTCCAACAAAATTCTATTTTCAATAAATTTTGAAAATCCACGATTTTTGTTATAAAATTTAAAAATTTAAAAAATTAAAATTTTTTTTTGTTTTTGCTTTACAATTTATACAAATAGAAAATGTTCAATTGAAATAGAAGATGGGCGTGAAGCCTAGTATAACTAGAAATATTTAAAACTCATGGGAAACAGATTGTCAACGTTAGTTTAAGTTCAACTATAAATAATTTTCAAAGCGTAACTTGTTTCTGCACTCTTTTGAAAAAGCAACATTTGGGGTTCTATAATTAAGATTTTGTTTTGTAAAGTATTGATAAAAGTCCGTAATAACCTTGATGGACCCCCGAACTTAAACATGAAGATAGAAAACTTTTGAAGGTTATAATGAGTTTAATACAACCCTGTTTTCTTGTGTTAAAATAAAATATGATAGAATATTTCCTGTTGACAGTTCTGATAAATGGAAATGTGCGAGGTAAACTTTTTAAAACTATGCAAAAAAAAATTGGGTCAGAAAATCGAGTTTATACTCTGGACCCTTTAGTAAAAACTCGATTAGTCTCCAGAGTGCAAATTCGATTAGTACTCCGGAGTGCAAACTAAATTAGTGCTCCGGAGTGCAAACTAAATTAGTGCTCTGGACTATAAACTCGATTGGTAATCTGGAGTGCAAATTCGATTAGTACTCCGGAGCAAAATTCGATTAGTACTCTAGAGAACAACCTTGCATGGTTAGTACTCCGGAGTACAAACTCTGGAGTTAACTTAATAAACGTTCGAAGATACAAACTTAAATTGTATTTTTAAAAGAAAGTTTTTTCATTTAAATTAAATAATAGAAAGTGATCCATGCAGAAGATTAGTTCTTTATTGTATCACGTCAGAAAAGGAAAGGATCGTTCACCAACATGAAATACCAACATCTTTTTACGAAAATAACACACGAAGCCTTATTGTGAATTCAAATATATCCCTCTAACTTCTAAGCCAGAATCTGAATCCTATCCGAATTAATATTATCTGAATCTGTCATGAAAACCATTTCTTGTTTTCTAATTAAAAACACTATTTGATAATAGATATGATAATTCAATAGATACTTAGATAACATTAAATATGAATATTTTTTTCCTAAAATTATTTTCTCTAAATTTTAGAATTGGTTAATTAAAAACACAAATCTACGCCGAACATTAAAACTTAAAGTTAGGTTATACATTAAAGGTTTGCACCATTATGTAGGTTGCAAAGATATAAAGATAACGGAATACAGTTTAAAGCAGATATTTAGATTTTTCCCTTTCCTGTGTACAAATCAAAGGTTTGTGGCAAAGACTCAATTCCTTTTCCAGGGATTCTACGGAGACTATATTCTAGATTATAGATATTATTTCTGAGCCAATTCTTTGTAAATAGCTGGTTTAAACAAAGCGGGATTTAATGAAAATTATTCCATGGAATGCACATTGTGAAACCAGTTTGTCTAGTCCCTTAGAATGACATATAAAGTGTAACAAGTGAGGTTTAAACCAAGTATAGAAGAAGAAGAAGAAGTTTCTGGAAAAAGTTTGACAAGGTCTTGGAATAATAAATCCTGATTTGTAGAACACAGTTAGGAGTTAGCCTTTTGGGCTTGGCTCTAACCAGTCAAACCTAGATTTTTAAACAATGTTTATAGAAATTTTTTCTTTTGGTTGAATTTATAAAAAATAAGAGAATATAGATTATTATGTTGTATGAATACTCCGTCCTCGTTTTTATCTAGTTCAAGAGATCATAAAAAAATGACTTACTTCAACCTTTAGTCACGAAAGATATAAGTCGTCTTTGGTCTGGATGGAAAATTGCTCCAACAAACTGTACAGACAAAATTAATCAATTTCCTGCGAAAACCGTTTTATCAGAAAAGTACTTATATTTACACTTTCGAGAAATTATATTTTGTAAGTTTAAAAACTATTTTCCAATAAAGGTTGCTGAATTAACATAATAGAATGTATATCATAGGCAAGTTTTCATGTAGTTTTCATGTAGTTTTCTGGGTGGGGTGACATGCAGTATACATTAGACATTATGGACCCTGAGATAGAATTTAAAGAATTTAAGCCGCGGTTTAAATCTGCCAAAACCCTGTTTAAATTAAGCGCCGGCTTAAATCTTGAAACATTTGATACAATTTTAAGTGGAACCAACCATATTTATGCCGCGGCTTAAATTTAAACCGCAGCTCAAATTCTTTAAATTCGGTCACTGGAGTTATAAAATATCGGTAAAATTTAGCTTCCAAATTAAGTTGTTTGTATTTAATATTTAGAATTTTAGACAAAGGAATTGAGTCTTTGCCACAACTTTTAATTTTATAATCACTATATCTTTGGAACCAAATGTTGCAGACCTTGGATATTTCAAGCTATGAATTCTGTTAGATCAAATGATCTGAGTTTGAAATATCAAAGGTTTACAACATCGGGTTCTAAAGATATTGAGTTTTAAATATTTGATTTTGTTCCAAAGACTCAATTCCTTTCTCGTTACCTCAGTCAATTATAAAAGGTAAAAAAATGTAGTCAACATTTTGGAAATACTAAAAAAAGGAGCAATTAATATTTATCTCTTTACAAGATATTACCTACTATATCTCACTTAGGTTGTAAAATCTGAATGATTTGTTTTATATTAAATTGATTATTTTACGATACGAGTTGTATATAGCAACTTTCTGACAATTTTCTCCTAAGGCAACAGATAGAAGTGAGGTTAGTATTGATCAAAAGCGATTATTTTTCGCCGTAAGCCTGTACCCCCTTTCATTTTTCGCGAACACTCCCTTTAAGGGTCCACTGAAATTACGCTTATTTCCTACATTATTTTAAAATATTTCAAGAAAATGTTACTGCGCTCTCTGTATTGGTAAATATGTTGACATACTTGAACTATTTTTCCAGTGTATAATCTAAAAAGTTTGGATAAAGTTTAAGTACATACTAACTTTGCTTCATCTATCATTGCTTGTCTCTCAAATGAAATTGAAACTTGAAGTTGAGTGACAGGGAGGAGGAAAGGAGGGTTCACAACGTTACTTAGTCCCAACAGGGGATACTAAGGGATTGTTCAGATATTTTAGAGCACGGTTAAGCTACCAAAACTTTCTTTAAGTTCTTTCATAACTCACAAATAAGGGTTTATCCTTATTTGATTGGAAATTGTAGAACGTTTAAAAAAATGTACAGGAAACCCAAGAATGAGTTTATCTATGACATGTACCTTTCTATGAACTTTCCAATACATTTGTATTTAAATAGCTAGAAGCAAGTTATACAAATTAAACTATAAGCTAGGATGAGGATTGTATCCATATATATGTTTGAACTGGTGGTTACAGGAAGGTTGGATGCAGGGAGGTACAAGTGCTCAGCTAGTAATGGTGTCGGAAACCCAGTCACTAAAACAATCCATCTTACAGTTTTATGTGAGTAGTGCTATTTTACTTTATGTTCCTGTCCAGAAAAAAATCCATTCAAATTATATTTAAAAAAAAAGTGGAATGAAAACAAAAATGTTTTAAGCTTGAATAAACAAAACATTTGATAAGTTGGAAACAAAAAGCATTAAAATGTTTTGATCAAAATATGGAACATTAAAAGTTCATGTTTTTATTTAAAATTAAAAAAAAAACATTTCGAAACAAGAAATTTTTTTAACTTTTCAAAAGCAAGATTACAGATTAAAGGGATTGTACGAGTAATTTCAAGTGACTCTCCATGCAAAGATGTCAAAGTACGATTTGCAACGGTACCCTTGAACCCTTTATCTGATCAACGGTACCCTTGAACCCTTTATCTGATTTGCAACGGTACCATTGAACCCTTTATCTGATCAACGGTACCCTTGAACCCTTTATCTGATTTGCAACGATACCCTTGAACCCTTTATCTGATTTTCAACGGTACCCTTGAACCCTTTATCTGATCAACGGTACCCTTGAATCCTTTATCTGATTTGCAACGGTACCCTTGAATCCTTTATCTGATCAGTAATTTGGCGTCGTTTTTCTGAATCAACCTGTGAATCTATGAATTTCTTCATTGCTTCTGATAAACAAAGATTGCGCAAGTGACTCTCGCAAAGAAACCGCAAATGAAAGTAAACAGTTTAAAGAAACAAAAACATCGATATCCGTCCGGTACTGTTTTTAATCATGCATTGCCAGATTTGCATGAGGGGTCCTTTTGCTTCTAAATAATACATCATCCATCATCCCTTGTGAATATTTCTATAAACATCCAACTATATAATGCATTTACCGCATCAAAGCTAAGGCCGTCTATTACTTTAAATTAGATTTATGTTTAAAATTTATCTAAACTGACAAAGGGCCTGAATCCTTTATATCGTAGAGAATACATATAAAGGTTTCTGATGGAGTTTTCATTTTAGATTTTCCTGAAATATTTCCATCTGTGAATAAAGTGCATGGAAGTGTGGGACACAGGGAGGAAACCAGTAATATTTAAACCAGTTTCTGTCTATCTACTTCACAATAATTCTAATTAAAGGGAGTGTTCGCGAAAAATGAAAGGGGGTATAGGCTTAATGCGATAAAAAAGCGCTTTTGATCGCTCCTAATCTTACTTCTATCTGTTGCGTCTATAAGGAGAAAATTGTTAAAAACGACTAAACCGAAGAACGTAGTGTCCATACAAATTCAGAAAGTTGCAATATTCAACTCGGATCGTAAACAAATCAAATTAATTCCAAACAAATCATTCAGATATTACAAGCAATAGTCATCGATTATTTTTCGACGTAAATAGTTGATATCTCATAAAATTTTGTATTTTTCATGATTTGAGAGTTACTTTGAAAACATTTATTCCTGTTTCGAGGATTTTAATGAAGATAACATTTTCATATTTTCCAGGAATGTTCGAAAATCCAGCGCCAGCGAAATATTATTAAAAAAAAATCTAAATATTATGAAATATTAACTATATACGAATGCGTCGAAAAATAATCGATGACTATTGTTTGTAATATCTGAATGATTTGTTTTAAATTAAATTGATTTGTTTACGATCCGAGTTGAATTTTGCATCTTTCTGAATTTGTATGGACACTACGTTCTTCGGTTTTAGTCGTTTTTAACAATTTTCTCCTTATAGACGCAACAGATAGAAGTAAGATTAGTAGCGATCAAAGGCGCTTTTTATCGCATTAAGCCTATACCCCCTTTCATTTTTCGCGAACACTCCTTTTAAGATTTATATATTATATATATATATATATAGCTACAGGGATACCAACAAAAAATGACAGTTCTAAAGATATTGTGGTTTAAATATTTGATTCCAATGGTAAATTAGGTCTTCTGCTTTGAATAATGAATATAGCCTGTTTATGAATTGTTCAATGATAGGGAAAAGAAAGAAACAAATATATGTTTGCAGGTCATCAAAAATTCTCTGAAGTAGGGTTTCCACGAAACAATAGATTCTTTTGCCCACCAGTTTTGTGTTTTTTCCACCAAACAGTAGGGGAGGGGCGCGCCACAGGGGAAATATTTTTTAACCTGAAAAACTCAAAAGTGTCAAAATTGAATGAAGACTAAGAATAGAAAGTGCTTTTGAGAAGCTATATACATCAAAAAAAAAAAGACTGGAGGTAAAAGATGTAGAAATTTCAGTTAAACTATAAATAATTGTACTTCTGAAAATTTTTGAATTAAGAAAGTAAAGGATGTAAATGCCTGTAAAGATAGAAATTATTTCGATTGGAAATCCTACTCTAAAGTCTCATCTTTTGTTGGTATACTATCTTCTATAAAATAAAACAAGACATTCGTATATATATATGTTGTCTATAGCCGGCCAAACGACTGGACCGATTGGGCTAGAATTTTTTGTGGACACTCTTGGGTGGCCAAGGGGTGTCATGGGCTAAAAATCTTCTTTAAAAAAAATATTTTCTCTTTTTTTCCACGGGTATGGCCTGGCCTTTCAGCTAGTATTACATATTGCATATATTCCTGTTTTTAAAATGGTTTGATTCGTTGCTCAGTGTAAACATATCATGTGAGGTGTGGGGGAATCCTAAACCAGATCTAGACTGGATTAAAACCTCACAACATCTAAACTTTCAAACTTCAACACTCCAGGTAATACAATATAAATGTTCGTCTCACAAATATACAATGAAAAAGGTAAAAATTTCCCATGGTAGAATCTCTATATATATATATATATTCTTTGCTGTTCTGGGTCATAACGGCTGAGCCGATCGGGCCAAATTTTTTTCTGGGATCTTACATGATCCCTGGAAAGGTTTATGGAAGGATGGAATTTCAAAATTTGCCTACAAAAAATTTAGATTTTTCAAAATCCACGACAAAAATCGATGAAAGGCTACAATTAATAATTAATGATGGTGATGGGTGAGAAGCGCCCTCGAAGTCTAGTCTTACAATATTTTACATATTTCTTAATTTCTATATTTTGTATAATACTTCTCAACCCCTTGGGCTAGAGTGCAATAAATGCATTATCTCTTGATGCATTCTATATGAGGTGGGAAGAGTGTTTGTTTTCTCCTGATTAGTGTTGTATTTAACTGCATTATACAAACCCTGATCTTTTGCATTTTTATACAATAAGGTTATAAGAAAATGTTCAGCGCTTCTGAATTTCATTTGTCCTATATGTTGTCTAACGTCCTATTTTTTACCACCTTTTTAAGTCCTGTAGTGTAGGGTGTACCCTTTTTCGTCCTAAACTGTAGGTTGTACCCTTTTTCGTCCTGTACTGTAGGCCGTACCCTTTTTCGTCCTAAACTGTAGGCTGTACCCTTTTTCGTCCTAAACTGTAGGCTGTACCCTTTTTCGTCCTAAATTGTAGGCTGTACCCTTTTTCGTCCTAAATTGTAGGTTGTACCCTTTTTCGTCCTGTACTGTAGGGTGTTCCCTTTTTCGTCCAAAATTGTAGGCTGTACCCTTTTTCGTCCTAAATTGTAGGTGGTACCCTTTTTCGTCCTGTACTGTAGGGTGTCCCCTTTTTCGTCCTAAACTATAGGCTGTACCCTTTTTCGTCCTAAACTGTAGGTTGTACCCTTTTTCGTCCTGTGCTGTAGGGTGTCCCCTTTTTCGTCCTAAACTGTAGGTTGTACCCTTTTTCGTCCTGTACTGTCGGGTGTCCCCTTTTTCGTCCTAAACTGTAGGCTGTACCCTTTTTCGTCCTAAACTGTAGGTTGTACCCTTTTTCGTCCTGTACTGTAGGCTGTACCTTTATTCGTTCTGTACTGTAGGGTGTCCCCTTTTTCGTCCTCTACTGTAGGCTGTACCTTTATTCGTTCTGTACTGTAGGGTGTACCCTTTTTTGTCCTAAACTGTAAGCCGTACCCTTTTTCGTCCTTTACTGTAGGGTGTACCCTTTTCCGTTTAGTACGCCCTTTCATGCACACCCCTTTTACAGGATCGTAGAATACAGGAATATCTCCAGGGGGTCTCAGAACCGTAACCTGGAAGTGTAACCTCTGAAAACCCTACTTTTAACTTATCTGTTTCATAAAAATAATTCACAAGAAAAATTAATTATAAATCTGGAGGAAAAATTAATTAAAAATTTAGAGGAAAAATTAATTAAAAATCTAGAGGAAAAATTAATTAAAAACCCGGAGAAAAAATTAATTAAAATACTTTAACATCCCTCTGCTGCAGTGATGAGATTAAAAAACTTACTTTCATTTTCTTTAATCTAAATTATCTGACAGATCTTACATTAAGTTCCACTGAAACTTAACTAAAAGATTTCCCTATTCATACACAATCCTATTAACCCCCCTTAACCCTTTATTATTCATAATTTGAATGTTTTTGTAATTTTATTGATTTTTGTTTGCTAGTTTTCCCACATTATAAAAATTTTTTGATAAACAAGATTGCCTGATTTATCAGCACGGTAAACTTGACTTTATTACTTTCAGACGGAGACTGGAGCATACCTAAGTGTACTGCATGTTTTTGTTTACAACGAGGTAGTATCGTTTAAATTTACAATAAACCCTATCCAAGAAGGACAGTAAATTCGCTCCCCTCTTCAGTGTCATTTGTTGATTCCGGACCCATGTTTAAAGAGAGTGTTCGCGAAAAATGAAACGGGATATAGGCTTATATATTTTAATTTTTTAGAAAACGTTTTTAACGAATTTTGAAAAATGTGAGTGGTGCGCGGCATTCTTAGATAGTTGCGCAAGCGACAAGAGAAATAATCAAATTCAAAACAAATTAGTTTAAAAATATTATATTTGGCGAAAGATAATCGATGACTATAAATTGTAATATCTGAATGATTTGTTTGAAATTAAATTGATTTTTTTACGTTCTAAGTTGTATGTTGCAATTTTCTCAATTTGTATGGACGCTAAGTTATTCGGTATGAGACGTATTTAACAATTTTCTCCTTATAGGCGCAACAGATAGAAGTAAGATTAGTAGCGATCAAAAGCGCTTTTTTATCGCGTTAAGCCTATACCCCATTTAATTTTTCGCGAACACTCCCTTTCAATGTAATAACTGTCTGCAAACGTAATGTAAAACTTGTAATACGATGCCTATAATGTTTTTGAACTAATATATTGTTCTGTGATTTGAGGAATTTATTTTATCTCAGATTTCACAGAAACATCTCATCTTTGGTTTTATTTAAATTCCGGGGATATTCTGTGATCATGATACAGGGTTACCCACAAAGGATGAGACTGTAAATACGACCTCAAACTCTCTTAATCTGATGAAGGTTAAATTCAAGTCTTCTGCTTTAAGCATAATCTTTTTATGGCTAATTTAAAGTTTACAGTTGCTGGGAATTATTAAGTAAATATACAGTATAAACCCAGAACTGTTCTCATCCTTTGTGGGTGAACCTATATTTAAGCTCTAGAGCAACCAAGATTATTTTTATAAATGTTTTAAACATTTTTTGTGTTTTGTAATGCTGGTAATTCTTTTATTTATGATTTCCCTGGCAAATATGACAGAGTTCAACTCATCTTTTAATAAGATTAAATATTTTTATTATTCTATTATGATATTTCACATGTTCGCATACAAACCTTTATTTTCACTTTCATCGAGTTTACATGTTTATTTGTACGTAAAAAGTTCATTCATGTCTATAAAGCAACAAATGAAATACACACTCTGAATAATTAAACCCAGGAAATATAGACTACTGAAGCGCTCAGCCCCAAGCATTTTCTAGCCCCATAAATATGCATCCTAGCCTGTCCTAGCCGCAGTGCTCGGTCCCAAGCATTTTCTATCCACATAAATATGCATCCTAGCCTGTTCTAGCGGCAGCACTCGGCATCCTAGCCTGTCCTAGCCGCAGCGCTCGGCATCCTAGCCTGTCCTAGCCGCAACGCTCGGCATTCTAGCCTATCCTAGCCGCAGTGCTCGGCCCCAATAATTTTATAGCCCTATAAATATGCATTCTAGCCTGTCCTAGCCGCATCGCTCGGCATCGTAGCCTGTCCTTGCCGCAGCGCTCGGCATCGCCCTTCTGCGGTGACTTAAGAGGCCTATAATCTTTTAAAAAATAAAACATGAAAAAATGGAAACATCTTTATTTAGGATTTTCTTTTCAGGAATTTGCACTCTCCGGATTAAATATCCGTACTGAGATTTTTTTTCTCATGATTTTGCCTTTCCATAAGTTTGTCTCTCTTGAGTTTGTCTTTTCAAGAGATTTCTTTTCTGAGCTTGTCTTTTCATGAGTTTGTCTTTTCAAAAGTGTGTCTTTTAGAAGTTTGTCTGATTAAAAATGCTCATTAATTTAACCGAATCTGTTTACTGTTTAGACATATCTGGGTAACTACAATTGCACTGCACAGAACCGGTTTGGACAGATATCAAAAAGTGTTCTGATAAGAGGTAGGGAAATGCAGTAGTGGAAGTGTAGGGAATAGAAGATACACAAGAGCCGGAAATTTAAAAATGAAATCTCCGAATCATCTTTTGAGGTCAATGCATTTAAAAAAAATAGAATAAGAGAATCATTATAAAATTTAAAACTAACCCTAGAAAATAATACTATTCAACGAAAATATAATTGCGCAGAAATTGTTGCCTTTTCCATTCCTAAAACCTGGTTCAGATACAGGGTGTCCATTAATAAAACCTGGTTCAGTTACAGGGTTTCCATTCAGACAACCTGGTTCAGATACAGGGTTTCCATTAATAAAACCTGATTCAGATACAGGGTTTCCATTCATAAAACCTGGTTCAGATATAGGGTTTCATTCATAAAACCTGGTTTAGATACAGGGTTTCCATTATTAAAACCTGGTTCAGATACAAGGTTTCCATTAATAAAACCTGGTTCACATACAGGGTTTCATTCATTAAACCTGACTTAGACACACGGTTTCCGTTCATAAAACCTTGTTCAGATACAGGGTTTCCATTAATAAAACCTGGTTCAGATACAGGGTTTCATTCATAAAACCTGGTTTAGATACAGGGTTTCCATTAATAAAACCTGGTTCAGATACAGGGTTTCCATTCATAAAACCTGGTTCAGATACAGGGTTTCCATTCATAAAACCTGGTTCAGATGCAGGGTTTCCATAAATAAAACCTGGGTCAGATACAGGGTTTCCATTAATAAAACCTGGTTCAGATACAGGGTTTCGTAGCTTTGTCCAGTCACTCATACCATTTTTTGGCGCTTGAACCCCCAAATATAGTTTCACAAAAGTGTACTGCAGTATCTGGGAGCAATATAAACAAACTCAGTACACTGTTAGTTTTAAATTTCCCCAAGTTTTCTTATTTCCCTGATTAAAATCTTTACAATTACGTATATGTAGACTTCAAAAAGGAACTCTAATGTTTTTTAAAGGATTCAGACGTGGTTTTATATAAGGGACCTTTCATTTAAAGAGATGCATTTCCGATTCACAACGGTACCATTAAAACTGTTAAATGATCAACAATGGAAGCTATCGTCGTTTTTCTTTCTGGAAATTCTGTTCTTTGCAGAAATCCGCAAGACAATCAATTCAAAACATTCAATTTACCGACACCGTTTTAATCTGCATAACATTCCGCTTTTTACAGATTTGTCTTGAACCATCTTGTGTATATTTTTAAGTACAAGGTGCAGGGTGCGGGGTTATTTTATATTTATTATTATTCGACTTTATTTCATTTGGAAAGGAAATCAAATGCCAGGGTTTTCATAGATCGAAAATAAAGAGATGCATTTATTTCTGCATAAATCGCATCAACGAGATTGCAACATATAGGGTGTCCCGCAAAACAAAGGAAGGGTTTAAATGCCACTTTTATTAGTGATATGGATAAAATGACCCTGTTAAGCTTTTTTTTGCACCAAAAATAAAAATTTGATTTGTTTGTAAGAATTTTGATGGTGTAATTTTACTGTCTTTGGCTCTCTGCAAGAATCGAGGATACATTTTAAAAACATGCAATCTTCCGAACTGAAATGAAATAAACTTTTCTTTCATGTGATCAGTAGTAATATTATCAATATTAAATACTGTTTAAATGTCGCCTGGTTTATTGCTAGGCTACTAATTTTCCTTACTTTTCCAGGGAAACAGATCTAGGTGAATTCAAGAGAAATACGGAATATCCATCTAAAGATATCCAAGAAAGACTGTATTTAGATTTTGATATCCGATAGTTTAAACTAAACCGTCACAGCTGAAGGAAACATCCTGAGCGCATTATGAAAAGATATAAAGTATAATATTTAAATGTGTTTGCAATCCGTAATATGAAAACATTGGGTTACACTTTAACTCTGTTACATTTAAGGCTTTATAACAAAATTTAAAAGGGACTGTAAAGGAAAAATAGTGGTCACATGTCTCTGTCTGTATCATGTGACCTGTATACTGCATTCTCATTGGTGGGAGTTTTGGTGACGTTTAACGGACTTATAAATAATATTATCAATTATATCTATTAAAAATAAAAGTAAAAATTATAAAATAATAATTGGAGAAACCCTAAGTTACAATTAGGGTTTTCTGGAATTATTCATTTTCAGATTGTTTGCATATTTGCTGGATATGATCTGTTTAAGCCTACTATTTCTAAACAAAATTGTATATATATACGAATTTTAGTATAAAGGAATTGAGTCTTTGCCACAAACTCTGATTTTCTAATCACTATATCTTTGGAACCAAATGTTGCAGACCTTAGATATTTCAAACTATGAATTCTGCTAGATTAAATAATCAGAGTTTGAAATATCAAAGGTTTACAACATCGAGTTCTAAAGATATTGTGGTTTAAATATTTGATTTTGTTCTAAAGACTCAATTCCTTTGACACAGTTTTATATCAATTTCTCGAAACAGGAACATCATATATAACTTTCTTTGGTCGCGATCAAGAGCTAAAGTGATTAGCTTTCAGTCTATACCCACTTTCATTTTTCCTTTACAGTTCCTTTAATTTACAATTGGAAATCGAACTGTGCTTAATAAACGCTTTCAAATTACAAATTGCACCTGTTTTGAACAAGAGTATAAGTGTAACCTATCCAGGAGATGTGTGGATCATGAGAGGATTGTGTGAAATGTTTTAGATAAACTATTTAAAGAATATTTTCAGGAAACCCTGATCCTCCCCAGGTATTGAGCAAGGATGTGGCTGACCGGAAAAATTCATATACTCTCATCTGGAAATCTGAACCACAACAAAACATCTCCTTGTATCAGATTATGAACCGGAAACTACCAGTAAGTTGATTCCAAGTATGTAATAATATATGGATATGGAGGGCGATAGAACCCTCCTGCCTAAATAGTTTAGCAGACAACTCATATATGTACCTTTACAAAATTCAGAAAGAAGAGACGTCAATACTGCTTACTTTTTATTCACAATTGCAGCCATTAAGTTTTCCCTATAAAATCATATAATTTTTTGAAATGTGATGAAATTGTAAAGCCAAGCTAAAAATGTTTATAAACAGATTACAGATTTTCAGTTGTATCACAGGATTGTCCTTAATTTTTGTAAAATATTACGGTTTGTTGTGTATTGCAAAATTTAATCTTATTTCCAAGAGATGGCAGCAGCCGAAGAGAAAGGGATATTATAGAAAGTAAACAATAAACTATAGATGTTTCTTCTTGCAGCTTTTCTCAAAACCTCAACATTTTCTGTGTATCTGTATTACTTCATCCACGGTTGATTCATATTCTATCTTTTAAAATATTTAGTTTTATTAAATTCTCTTTGATTATAGGTTTTACAGTGTATTTATAGTTTATATGATAAATATATTCATAGAGTGCCCAGATAAATAGACCATACTCGTACTGCTATACTTGTACAGAATGTTTTGTGACTGTTATCTAACGCCTCTTTTTTTACTATTCCCCTTTCTCTACAGATAAAATATCACAGCCTTTAATAGATCTCCCATTAGGGTCCGTCCTAGTATACGATGTTTAGACCACCCCCCTCCCGCCTTCCCCCCTCATATCAATTATGTACATACATGACCACTTATTTTTATTCATTTTTTATTATTTTTGGGGCTAGGTTAGGGTAAGACAATTTCTGGGCCGAGCGCTACGGCTAGGACAGGTTAGGGGGCCGAGCGCCGCGACTAGGACAGTCTGGAGGGCCGGGCGCTGCGGCCACATGATTAATTATATCCATGTACAAAATTGATAGGAGGGGGGAGGGTCCAAAAATCGTTCTCTAGGAAATTACCCTCCCATTATCTCTGGTGTGTACTTATGAGACTAAACCATGCAGACTTAACATCTTCAGTTTCACTTTTGTACAACACAGAATTTGAATAATTTAAAGGTGAACAAAACTTTGAAGGAAGTATTTTGCAAAATTCATTTGATCACATGTATATTTAAGGTTCACAAAAAAGCACGTTTTTAAAAAGTTTTGATAACAAACTATAAATGTTTAAGTCAGTTTTTAAACAATGGTTTTATTTACTTATACTAACAACTGAAATTTCTCAGACAAAATTTCTGTAAATTCCCTTTCCATATTTCTGCTTGCAGTAAGAAATGTTTTCTAAGAACTGTTCCAACCAATAACTAATTCTAATTTTGTTTTGCAAGATAATAGCAAGGAACTAGATAATAGCTACCAACAAAAACAGTATTTATAAACATTAAAGTGTCAATGAAGAGTATTGGTAAACAGGGTCTGAGAAGGAAATCTAGAAAACAAATACCATAAATTATGTTGTAAAACTAGGGTTGGGCGTTGTTTAGAAAACAGGAAGGGTTAAGACTAACAAACTATTAGTCTTAAACTTTTAAATAATGAAAAACGATACCACGATTTGAAGTTAGTTTTTGTGGAGTTAAAAAGGTGTTTTAAACATTTTAAGTTTTAAGCATTTCTTCGGAATAATACCTTCCCCTTTACATTAATTATGACGTTAGATGTCCAAACTTTTGAACCACATACGTATTCAAAGTTGAGTTATAGGTCTAATAATCGAAAATCTTCTCTGTCCCTCTTCCAAACATTTTCAATAGATTTTTCACCCTCTGAACGTCGTTTTATTTGAATAAAGCTACAAGTACAATTTCCATAAATGGGGGGGGGGGGTTCGCCATTGAAACATTTTGCTTTAAAATGTCGTTTAAGCCTTCAAATTGTACTCCGCTCAAAAAAAATCAAACGTCTTTTATGTTATTTTTAAAAATAAAAATTTGGAAGGTTAAAACGGCATTTTAGAGCAAAACGTATTATTGACGACCTGCTTGGGTTTATTAGTTCTTATATCCGACCATAGCAAAAAGCTGGGTTTCCAACTCTGGGTTCCCAAGATTAGAGATAATCCTATAAAAAATTCAGAATTAAAGGAATTGAGTCTTTGCAACCAACTCTGATTTTCGAATCCTTACATTGTCCCAATCAAATGTCGTAGACCTTAGATATTTCAAACTATGAATTATGTTAGCTCAACTGATCCTATGGATGTAAGGCAAGGAAAGTCATTTCAGAAGTGTACACATCTTTAGTACTGCAGTGTACTGTCTCTGGGCGCTAATGTAAACACAAGACGGATGTCGAAGCCTGACATGGGATCCATGATTCACATAAAAAATCAATGAAATATTCTGGTCATAGGAAACTATGTAAATTATCAAAATTATCAAAATTTAATGCTTTTAACCTCCTCGGATACTAAACGAACACTGATGCATCTATTATTGTTTACAAATACCGCCCAGAGAGAACTGGTTTCAATATGTACACAGAGTATACACAACCGCAATTGACTTTCCTTGCCTTACATTCTTGAACTGATCTAAGTTTGAAATATCAATTGTTTACAACATCAGGTCGCTAAGTTGTTGAAATTCGAAAATTTAAGTTTGTGGCAAAAACTCAATTCCTTTGAAAATAATTTTCTTTAATATCGCCTATCCCAAGAATATCAAATTAAATATTCTTTTCATAAAGTTTGAGATTTAGTTTGAATTTTGCCCTGGGATAAAGTTTAAAGTTTTCAAAGGTTGCAATGGAACTTAATTATCTTGTATACTCCTGTTTATAGTATATCATGCATACTAATTAGGGAATAATTAGGATGTAAGCAAAGCATACTAATTACCATCATTCTTTTCTTAAGTAGAATAAACAAAAAGAAGTTTCAGTTCAAAAAGTGTTTTAAAAATTTCAGTGTTCATTTTAATATTGTTCAACATAAACAAATCAAAAATGTTTTTACTCGCGTATAAATAACAAAACCTGGTTATTTCTTTTATTTGTGCATTCATCTGTTAAATAATAGAAAACCAATCATTTTCTGTGTTCTACACATTTTAATCTTTTATATTTAATATAAAAAGCAATTGAAAGACTCAAGTTATGATTTACTCCAATTAACATAAAAAACAGAGTTTGTGCAGTGTGCACAGACCCATTAATAATTTCACTTGATAAGCTGTTTTTTTAACTATTGCTAAAACTTTTCGCTTAAGAACAACATCAAATACATACATGATTGCTTAAATGTCCACAAGGCGCCATTACCATATACGAAAAGACAAACTCCAAAAACACAAACTCCGGAAATGCAAACTCTGGAAATGCAAACTTTGGAAATGGAACTCCGGAAATGCAAACCCTAGAAATACAAACTCTGGGAAAGACAAATTCCGGAGATAAAAACTCCGGAAAGACAAACTCCGGAAATAACTCCTGAATACACAAACTACTATTCCAAAGTTTGAGGGATGCCACTTTATGAAGAAACAAATCAGGTTTTATTTGATATCCATGAATTTTCTGATTCCTCTTTGTAAGCTGAGTTTGGTTGGACTTCTCCTTTGTAAGTAGGATAAGCCTCTTCTATCCTGTCATACAATAGAGAATAATAAAATAAAAAATACAGATACATCATCAAGAACCAGAAGTTTTTAACTAGTATTCAGATCCAACCAAACCAAATATAAAGGACGTACAATGTACATTTTACATAGCTAGGCCCAAGATTCTAATGAAAGAAAGTTATTTTAGAGTGTACGCATCTTTTGTACTGCAGTGTACTGTCTCTGGGCGGGAATATAAACACAATACGGATGTCGAAGCCTGACATGGGATCCATCTTTCACATAAAAGAGCATTAAAATATTCTGGTCATAGGAAACTATTATGTGAATTATCAAAATTATCAAAATTTAATGCTTTTCACCTCCTCGGATATTTAACGAACACTGATGCATCTATTCTTGTTTACAAATTCCGCCCAGAGAGAACTGGTTTCAATACGCAGAGTATACGCAATGGCAATATGTACGCAGAGTATACGCAATGACAATTAACTGTCCTTGCATTATAACCTTGACCAGCGTAATTTTACTGAGCAGGCCCAATTATCCAGCATTTACAGTGTACAACGTACAAAAGAATATAGGACCGATGTTACAAGATATATTGCTCGGTTTGTACAACAAGTATTTCATAATATTTACATCTTGCATTGAAGATATACGTTAATAAAGCGACCATTGTAACAGGATTAATCGAAATATTATATTTTTATTTTATCAACTAGCTGCAGAACGAGAAAATTGAAAAATCCAAATGGTATTTTCTAAATTATTACATAATTTTAATGTTTCTTAATTAAGAATAAAAAACAGCATTTCTTTATGTAACAATAAATTCAAAAATTTTAGAAATAATTTTTTTAAGTTAACGGACTTAATAAATTTAGAGTATATTCCCTTTAATTGGTAAAAAGTTACTGTTATGTTTCTGCAAAATTTCCACCAGATAAACTGTTTTATCCTGAGGAGAAACTACCCATTAACAACTGGTCCATAAATCTTCATAAGAAAATAATATTATACTTTTCCTGAATTAAATTATCCATGTTAGGGTTCCTGGTTAGTGTTTAGGTGGTGATGATCAAGGTGAACAAGGAGGACTAACCTTCTCTGGTACATGAAAGGGGTATAGGGCTATGTGAGCTCAAAAGCCCCCTGGATCAATAAAATCTATGATTTCCAGAGGTTTTTCAGTTTTTCAACGATTGTATATGCCTGGGATATTGTAGTTTATCCAGTATAGGAGAACTATTAAGAGGATCAATATGCTCTAGTACTATATATATACCTTGATATTTAGGATGGTTCGGTTGTATATTCCTGGGATATTGTAGATTATCCAGTAAAGGAGAACTATAAGGAGGATCAACATGCTCTAGTACTATATATACCTTGATATTTAGGATGGTTCGGTTGTATGCCTGGGATATTATAGATTATCCAGTAAAGGAGAACTATAAGAAGGATCAACATGCTCTAGTACTATATATACCTTGATATTTAGGATGGTTCGGTTGTATGCCTGGGATATTATAGATTATCCAGTAAAGGAGAACTATAAGAAGGATCAACATGCTCTAGTACTATATATACCTTGATATTTAGGATGGTTCGGTTGTATATGCCTGGGATATTGTAGATTATCCAGTAAAGGAGAACTATAAGGAGGACCAACATGCTCTAGGGAAGATATAGATAGTTTATTTTAGTTTCATCGAAACAATATTTGTTAAAAAGATCCTTTTAATTCACAAAATTCATCCTGGTTTCTTATTTGAATTGCGTATACAATTATAATCATTTTAAAACAATATAGTATATTATAAAATAACCTTAACCCTCATAAACTGTTTAATTCTATGTTATTTTTGGAAACTGAGATGGGAAGTCAAGGGATGGAAAAAATTGGTTTTAAAATACGTATTTGGAAATCTTTAACTAGATTGGGTTGGACATTTTTAAATGAACGGAATGCATTTAACTAAATTTATTTATTTAAAAGTTTCCAACTTTCTGTTATTTTAAGTTTTAAATATTTTCATTGTGAAAAGATAAGTAAAAACTGAACCTGGATTTTGTTTATGTTTTTAAGATTATTAAAATGAATGCATTACAAAATCAGCACTCAGCGGCTAGAGTTTCCTTTTATTGGGATCTTGCATCATTTTGTTTAACTTCCAAAAAAGTAGTATATTATTCCAGCAGACATAACTAACAGTTTAGTCCAAATCTCAATGCGTTCGACAAAGGTTGTCCCAGTTGCCCTGCAGATTTTTTTATTCTGATCTAAACTAAAATAATGACTTACTGTACAATACATTTCTTCACACACAAATTGAAGCATCGACAATTTTCTTTTCTATAAGATGGAGTTCATATAGCTGGGAATCCATCGGCCATGATCTTCTTCAAATGAAAGGTCACTTGACATTGCCACAACTGTCTCTGAGACGAAATAATACGCTTCCCTTTTTTCCCTTCCTTTGGTCGATTTTGCTTGTGTTTTAATGTGAGCTAAATGAGCCTTGTATTCCTATTACCGGGACTTTGGTTGAAATATTTGATCAAAAGATAATATTTATCTACGTCATTAATCCTTAGAGATCACAAAGCTGGAATCCGATAGTGCTTACGTCACAATTGTAAAGGTAAGTTTTGGATTATAGATTACAAGGATAGGACAACAGATATTGTACCTAGTATACGGTTGGGTTCTCTTCGTCCACGATTGGGTTCTCTTTGTGCAACTTGTCAAATCTTTGGCAAAAGTCAAATTTTACTTTAACTTAAAAGAAACCTTGTGCAGGAGATTATTTGACCTTGTCGATCCTTGAATAAACAAAACTCAGATCAAATATGTCTCCCAAATGCCATTATTTGTTACGATTTTAAATTACCTCTCTTTGTTCTATCTTATCTGCGGTCGGAACTATTCTTGTGGAGTAATCTCAATCTTGAAGGCTTAATCTCAATATGGAATGTAGGCACTTTTAAACTGAAGAGTCAATGCTTGATCCCATAATTTGGAGATTAATGCTTGATCCAGAGATTAACAATACAAAAGTTCTGTGATATAAACTGATGTTTAAAGAAACCAATATTTTGTTCGTCATGAAGAACGTACCGAAAAATTGGGAGGTTTCACATCATTTCGACTTCGTTCATAATTTTGAAAAAAAATGTTCTCAATTTCGATTTTTTTCAGTTTGATATTTAAAACAAAATTTTGTTTAATAGTTAAAAGCCAAGTGTTTAAACTTTAGGGCAAATATCTTCAAATAAACATTTTAAAAACATTTTTTGCTAATTAAACAAGAACTTATTTTTTTTATGAAACATTGTTAACTATAATGTTTGTTCTATATTAAAGTTAGAGGAAAGTAAAATGGTTGTATAATGTATAAGATACAAATAATATAACGGTGCTGTAACATGCCTTTATCCACTTACCATCTTTAATATTTACCAATAAACTCACCAAAATATACTTTTATGTGAATATAAAACTGTAAAATATTTCATGATGTACTCTCATGTATTTTTTATACGAAATAGCATGAGACTAGAGATAATCTAATTAAACAGAATAAAATGTTAACATACAAGTTGCTAAAAGTAAGTTTAGACTTTGCTCCCAGGAAGAAAAATTAGATTATGTTCCCTGAGTTCTAACATGTTTAAACCTTAATGTGCTTGATACATTACTCTTTAATTTGATTTACTGCACTACCTTGGATAATCTTTATTCTCAAAAGTTAAAAAATGTTCATCGTATTCTTAAGGAGCCCTTTATTTAATAAATACCATAAACAAGTCCAATAATATTTACACATTATAAAATCTGAGGTATTCTACTGTCCCAGCAAAAATGAGCCGAATGTTAAACTACATCAGGGACAAACGATTTGTGGATAAAGTTTTAAGGGTTTGTTTGAATGATGTTGACAATTTCTACAAAGTCTGACTTAATTCATGAAAATATGGAAAAAGCAGGAAAAAAACGTCAAAAAACAAAGATATAACCCTGGTAATTTAAAACTTTATTTTAAACTTATTTGAAGTAAATTTTGTTTAAATTTTTTTTTTTGATTTATCAGAAAAAAATAAATTGTTTCTAATTTTCTCTTGTCTTATAGTATAATTATTGAGTGTTAAATAAGTGAGTTTTAAGTGTAATATCCTAAACTATTAAAGTAAAAATTTTATTCGCTTACTATTCATAAATATTCACCAACTGTCATGTTTCGTGGGACACCCTGTATTGAACAAAGATTCAAGTATTATAGAGATACATTTTTTGGGATTCATTAATAACAATGAGACGTTTAACGGTGTATGATTTCTAAATAATTGACCGTAAATTCGTTATCAGCATTAATTCTATAATACTGTACTCTCTTAGTTTAAATATTTTATCTATCCGGTCTCTTCTTTAACTGCTAAATAGTACTCTTAGAAATTAAAGGTTTTTATTTCAGGCGTACAACAGATACGGGTGGAGTGATCCCTCTCAGGAGTTTATATTTTATACGAGGGGAAAAGGTCAGTTTTTATTTTTTTAATTTTATTTTTCGCTGATTCCACAATATTTTGTTACAACTGACAAGAACTGTTCCATTTTTGGAATTTCAATACAGCAGGACCCTCAGTTCTCTGGATCTGGAAGACGAGATTTACGCAATCTTTTTCTATTTGATGTTGTTAAAAAGCAAATCGTTTTACTAGTAGCTTGACAATTAAGTTAATCGAGTGAAATGTATCTGTGTACATTGCACAATTGCTGTGTTTTATGTTTATTGAACTATTTTTAAATCATAACTGAAGTTTAACAGTCGTCTTCCTATTCCACAGTTGTATGTGTTCCACTGTATGTTTTGATAATCTTAGTTTAGATCAATGTTTTTGTTCAATTTCTACTTTTGTTTTGATGCAGAGAAGTTGGGTGGATTTTTTTTGAAAAACGTAAACAATTATATAATGTAAATACATATACTACTGACGACCCACAATTCTTAGAACATGACGATTTAAAGCTTGATTTTAGTGTATGCCTTTAATTTACTGTTTTAATGGTTTACTAAATGAATTAGAAAAGAAAAGTTGGTTTTGGTATGCAGGGAATTCTAAGAATGTAAGAAAGAGAATTAAAGAAATTCCGTCTCTGAAGTCTCATTCTTTGTGGGTAACCCTATAATAATAAAAAGTATTTTTTTTCACAATAATATGGTGATGGATTATTTTCACTTTTATATTAGAATGTTTAGTTCAGAATTATAAATGGAAAAGATAGAACCAAGCGTTTACTGCTGATAAACAATGGAAAAGATAGAACCAAGCGTTTACTGCTGATAAACAATGGAAAAGATAGAACCAAGCGTTTTCTGCTGATAAACAATGGAAAGAAATTATGCACAACTGGCGGGGACTGAAAACCATAACATTTGCAAATTGTGGAATTTGCAAACATATATGTCTTTTCTGTTAACCCGTATAGTATGGATCAAAACTAAATGGGGGGGGGGGGTGTGTTTATTTTTTAAACTATGCAAATTAAGTATTAAACTTACAAGAATTGCACAGTTGGGCGGGAGTCAAGGCTGGGTTAGAGAAAACAGAATCTAATGTTATTATATTCCTCCAAAAAACTGCAGTGTAATTTATGTTTTAAAAAACATTCCTAACATACCTCATGTTTCACTTTTACGTCTTTTAGCCGAAAAATGAACGGACAACGGAGTTTTTAAACCTGTTTCATTTTTTTTCCTAAAAAATTCCAAGTTGTCGTCTTCACAATATTTTTGATCAGAAAAAAATATTGTTTAATATCAGTGGATTTTTATTAGACTAATATATATATATTATATCAACTACTATGGTTTTATTTCTGTGTAATTTGAAAAGTTACAAAAGTAGCATTCTGTAATATGTTTACTTTTGTATATGTATTTACAGGAATAGCAACAAAGTATAAGACATTAATGACGACCTAAAACGTTAAAATGAAACGTTTAATTTTTTTACACAAACGGTATCTATATATAAATTTGGATGGTCTGTTTGTTTGTCTGTCTGTTTGTATCCAATAAACATCAAAACGGCTGAACCTATCGGGGCCAAATTTTTTGTGGGACATCACGTGACCACAGGGAATGCTTATGAATGATAAAAATTTAAAAAAAAATGTATTTTAAAGGTTTTTAATTTTGTAAAAAAAAAATCTTGAAAATCCGCGAATTTTTTTTTTTAAATCCGCAAAATTTTTTTCTTCTTTGTTTTTAAATGTAAACATTTAGAACATGTTCACAATTTAAATTGAAGATGGGCGCGAAGCGCCCTAAAAGTCTAGAAAGAAGGGCGCGAAGCGCCTTGAATTTCTAGTAACTAATGATTCAGCAAAGAAAATCAGTTTCAAATTAAGAAAAATCAATTAATTAAAAAAAAAATTAATAAAAAAAGGGGGATCATAATTTTTTTTGCAACCTGAAAAAATAGGTAAAATTTGGTACCTCCCTCATTGACCAAACATTCGAACAATTATTTTTAGCTGATATCCGGTTAAACTGCAGAGTACACATAACTCTTCTGTTTGACATCTTAGGATATAAATTATTTTTGAGCCGGATATGGAGAAGCCAGGAAGGAAGTATGGCTTGAAATATTTAGTTCCGTCTATGATATCATCTTTATAGAATTATAGTTTTATGTAGATTTAAATCTATTTGAATATTTCCCACAGATTATAACTGTAAATAAAAGAGAAAAGTCAGAAGATTTTATTCAGCAACCTTTGATATTTCTTTTATGCATTTCAACTGAATCTATTATAGGGTCTCGACATGCTTTTAGAATACCTACAACAGCTTGAAATGGTTTTATAGTTTAGACTTCATAGCTGTAGTTTTATATGTTTCACCAAGATTAAACGTACAGATTTAACTACAAGGAATGAGATTTTAGGACGACTGCACAAAATTTATTTTATCCTTTTTCATTTATATTTTACTGCAATTGCAAGAAAACCCTGCATGCTGTATAATGTTGAAGAAGGTTTGCACTTAATTTCTGATGGTTTTTAATGGTTTTGCATTCTTGACATCTGTAGGAAAGGTTCCGAAAGTCTAATCGGAACTTATTCGGAAAATTGATCGGAAACGCTTTTCTATAAATGTCGAACCACGAAGATCTGCTTAGAGCCTCAATGACAAGAAACCACTGTACTCTTCTATATACGCAATTTAATTATTTCAGCAAATTATTCAAGTAAATAAAATTTTCATGTTGTTAGTTCTGTGAAGAAACCTATCAATTTGTGTTTTAACGGTATACATTTTGAAATGGGGGGAATGCTGACCCCCCCCCCCTCCGGCTCGGTTTCTAAGTTTGCATAATTTAAGCATACAGCTAAGCTAAAATTTAAATCTAAGTAAAGATGGATGAGACATTGAAAGCTTTTAACCAAAATTCACAGAGATATTTGTTACGGATTTGTGACCGCTGAATTTCCTATTTCATAATATTCTAAAGAAAAGTTTTTTGCTTTAAGCCAGGAAAATACAGACGAGTTCTAACTTATCGACAAAACCGAAAAAAACTGGCAGTTCAAGAAAAAACGAAAACAAATCAATACTTATTTCTAAAAACTGACATTTTCGTTTTTTTTTGCTCAAATTATCCTTAAACTACAATAAACATTTTTTTAAACGGTTGAATTATCAGGCTTGAAAAGTTTTCATTAAAGAACAGAGATTTTTAAAGTTTTTTAAAAAGTTTTTTTTTAAAGTTTTTAAGTCAAGAATTGAACTGAATGTTCAGTTAAAAATTAAAACAAATGATAACATAACGGTCCTTTCCGTTTCGTTAATTTAATTAATCTCTAACGAGCGGATTAAAGAGGGACTAAATCGCCCAGCTCTGCCTGAGTATATATCTTAATGATACTTTAATATAATATGTTTTCTCTCAATCCTAGTAATCAATTAGACTTAATAGTTTCAGGAGTTTAAGGGGAAAATTGAATTATGAATTATAGAGACAAAAACTATTAAATCAGAAGTTTAACTCATTCTTGTTGGACACAGAAATCTATCGGCTGACAAGAAAATCAGTAAAATTTTTATCTTTTAACGGTTAACATCTGAACTTTGAATTTGACGGACGGGTTAAAAATGGTTTTGCAAGAATAACCGGGTTTCTTGCAAACTTCTGAAATGTTCCTTATATGGACTGTTCAATGTGATAACACACGGGGTTAGACGAAATTTCAAGTTTCCCTCCATTTATACATTGGCATGTTCGTTTAACAAGTTCACAACGGTACCCTTTCACTGATCAAGGCCGGATCATGAAGTTATCTTAAGCCTTTTCTCTAATGTTTGATTACCATGCATTCCAGTGATTTTATATTCTAAAAGTATTATTATTAACTTCTTCCGTTTTATTCAAATCTTTGAAGACGGCGTGTAGAATACGGTACGTTTTCGGGGAATGTGGAATGTAATGTGTGTAGAGTGTGGGCTATGAACAAGGATCTTAAGTGACAATATAAAAATCTTTCTTATATATTTAAATAGATAACAAAAATACTGATTTCTGAAAAGTGCTGTTTTAATAATGATGACTAAGATATTGAATATTTAGACAATTCGGATATATTTGACAAATTGAAAATAAGAACAAGCAGACCACATTTTAGAAATCCCTTGGAATAGAAACTAATTTTACTTTCATTTAATTTAACATTTTTGTTGTAGATATGGTTGTGGAGAGTCCAATCAAAGAAGAATCAAATATGCTTTCCTCAGGGTTAATTCATGCACAAACTAAACTACTGTACATAATGTACATAATCCTTCTGCTCACCCAGTAATCTACATATATACCAATATAAATCTTTAAATGTGACATATATTAATTTTGTAAAACATAATTTCATAGAAATATATTATTAGTTTGTATTTTTTGTACAGTTTTTATGTTTATGAAAATGAACTTTAATGGCAAACTTCGAGCGATCCGTCCCGTTTTATTAGCAGCCGATAATTTAGGCCTTTTGGTTTTCCGGCTTAAATTACATTACCTGTAAAATTAAAAAAAAAATATTCTATTTACAAAATCTATTTTTTAAGATCCAGAACAGAGATTTGCAATAAATAAGACTTCCAGCTAGAGGTTCATTCGTTTAAGCTGTATGTTTCTGACACACGAACAGTCATACACACTTTTTTATTAAAAAAAAAACAAATTGAAAGGAAAGCTCCCATTTTATGTATCCGGTATTAAGCTTCTTTGATGTATTTATTCTAATCTATGATAAAAAAAAATAATAATAAGTTTATTTTTTTGGCGTACAGTACAATATTATAACTTGAGTAATTCTAAAATGTTCAACACCAGGGGGCGCGCGATCAGCAAGCAATAGCTGTAGAGTAGACATAAGTAAAAGTCAAATTTATGCAAAAGTACTGGTACAACGTTGTCACCTCATCTAACCTCTAATTTAGATTTAATTCTTAAGAATGTATTAGCAAAACAAATCAATTTGATTTTTAATTTCTCTTTAGGAAAAGAATCTAGCTATTCAAAAAAAAATCAAGTTAAACCCAACGTGAAATTTAATTTAATCTGACCATATACGGTGAACAGATAGAAAATTTAGATATTTAGATAAATTATATTTTATCATAATTCTGCTGTCTACTTGTTTTTAAAAAGTTTCGCAAGCTGATGAATATGTTATCTTAGTACTGAGGATTTCTGCCAAAACTTTTGCAAAATTTCAATTATTATTTTTGTAGACAGAACTTCAAAATTTTTATTAATTTCAACATTTTTCTGATATCAACCTTTCTTGGATCATTTATTTTACCAAAAATGTCAAAATTTTTCACCAAACATTGAGTAAAATTTATGGTAATTTGATGACATACAAGATTTAAAACCTGGTATAGCTCTATTTATTCAAATATAAATAGAAATCCGAGGGTTAACATTCAGAGATAAAAATAGAAAATAAAATTCTTATAATCGCAATACAAAATTATATACAGTGAAACCCTTAATAACGAATACATCGGAAGAATTTATCAAATGTCGTCTTGACAATTTTTCAATGAGTTTTATACTATATTACGTAAATTTCAGTATTTCCGAAAATAAATAAATAGCCATGAATATGCGGGAACAGTTTTAAAGAGTTCCATATAATCATTTAATTAAAACTAAATATCTGCAACATTTAATTATCAGTAAGTGAAGAATACGACATTTGATGAATTCTTTCGATGTATTCGTTATTAAGGGTTTCACTGTATGGGGGGGGGGGTCAATATCTTGTGCCCCCCTCTCCCCCTAAAAAGAATGATGGTGCGATGTATCAATTTTTTAAAAACTTAAGTCTCTAAAAGTTTCAAATTTTTTTATTATTATCAAAGTATAGCGACGGAAAAGTACGAGATAAATAAACGGACTGTATATATCTTGAGGTCTAAGTTAAAACAATGATATTCTATATTTTTGGTTTGGTTGCTTGGTCAGGAAGTGGAAGACGACATCTAGCTTCTCCACAGTGGTCCCCCCAGCATCTTGAGAGTTTGTAGAGTACCAAGATGTGTATCTCTAACCATTCTTCTTGGGTAGGATCCAACACTCTAGCTGCTCTATATCTCCAGTGGCTCTGTTGATAGAACCAGCTGGAGAATATATCCTGGTCTGTGGTTGGATGGGCTGGTCTGTAGCTGGACTTGTATGTCCAGGATACCCTAACTGCTCTTTATCACTAGTGGCTCCGTTCATAGAACAAGCGGGAGAATACAGGGCTTCATCTGATACATCTTGTTCTGTAGTTGGACTAGCTGGTATGGTTACAATCGGAGCAGTACCAGAAACCAGTGAAGATAAATACAAAGAGAATAGAATATATATTAGAGTCGAATTTAGACAATCCTTCGATATGAATTTTGTAAGTCCCTATAAATTTATCACTTAACTCCATCACAGCTAACTAAATCAATAATCACAACATAATTAAAACTTATATTTTCACTAATAAACGAAAATTCTTCTGAAATTTTTAGATATAATCTACTCAATCTACATATTCACCAACTCTTTTAAGCTTCAATTTTTTGGGATTTGCATGCACAAACATTTCAATGATTTTTTCAGTAGAGAGCTCAGACAGCCTTGTAGGGTGTAAAGCTGTAAGTACAAGATCGTTAAGTCTTCTCTCCGTCACAGTACATCTTGTGTAATAAAGAATTCTCTTTAGAAGGCTAATACTTTTCTCTCCTTGTATTAACAGTGAATTTAGACAAATCCTTAGTCTTTGTCATTTTAAGGTGTTATTTTTTAAACATAATTTCCTTTTAATTTTGTATTTTCCAGGGGGAGGGGTAGAGCCTGCCTGGAACTCCCAGGGGGGCAAGAGGACTACTGCCCCCCTAGGTACGCCAATGTGCCTGGCCTGAGGAAGGGAAATACAAGCAGATGTAATATTAAAAGAGCCTTCCCCCGTGGGTGCCCCCCCCCTCAGCCTCTCAGGGGGGGAACGCGTAGGGGGGGGGGCGGCCTCCCTCGTACGCCCCTGATGCAGTAGAGTACATTAATACAGTATGTTCCCTAGAATATCCATTTCAATTTCGAATTTTTTAAAGCTATTAAATAAACTTTATATAGTTAATTTGGTAAATAAAAAACATCATTTGATTTATATATATAACGGAAAATCATCGTTTGTAAAGTGAAAGGCATAGAGTCTATGTAAAATGATAACTGATAAATTATGAAACCAATCTATTTCATATATTTGGTTTTCTTTTAATATTAATTTTAGATTTTCTATAAAATGATGTTCCAGGCTTCCAGGGCCCAAAGGGTTATATAGCGCAAATACACTACAACAAAATGGCCGTTTTACACTTTTTTATAGTAAATTCCACTCTAATATATATTCTATTCTCTTTTGATAAATCCCTAGGTAATACTGAGCTCATACGAGCTGAGCTCATACGTCTATCCTGTTCAAGATTCCCGGGTGCACTAACTCAATCTCCAGGTTCTTTATTCTGCTAGAGCTCAGAGAAAGGGGCTGGGACTTTAGCATGAGTAACCATGCTTTAAATAATACAATGCTCAAAAGTACTGCAGACGTAATTTTAAGTGACCCTCTATTTAAAAATCATAAACCCAAATTGAAATAGATAAATTTTTACTTAGATAAAATATGATCATCCCACAAAGGGTCAATTAAAATTTTTCATAGGGTTCGTTTGGTCCTAAAAATTGAAATAGATGGCTAAATATTTGCAGTTAGCCTCCTACTGTGATCATCTATATTAATGGATGATAAAGAAAAGTTGGGATCTGACATTACAAAAGTTCCTAAATTAACAAAGCTTTAAAAGTCATCTTTTTTTCTGTAAAATGAATGAAAGATTGTTCGATTGAAGGTAATTGATTAAAGCAAGGTTAAACAAATTTATTTTCAACATATATCCAGTTTCTATTGTTACGTTATGCGATCTGAAAATACCAAATGATTTTCAAGGACAATAGGTGCCAACGAGATTCTAAAGAAATTATATTTGACGTCAAATGTGGCCAAATTAACTTTTAACGATGATGTTTGTATCTTAAATAAAGTTTAAAAAAAAGAATGAATGAATGAATAAAAGTTACAATTCAAGATTTTATAAAATGATATTAAGCTTTATACCAGTAAACAAAATACAATCTTAAAGTTAACATTTTCCACTTCTCAAGAAGCAAAGTTAAACAAGATTTTAAAGTTTAATAAATAATGTTTACTTTATTTTACAATTTTAAACGTTAAAGGCTTGAAAGTAAAATAAATCAAACTCTACAACAAGATTTTGAAATTGCAGTTGACAATTTTTGGAACTACAGGGTACTTTGGGGTACTGGAGTAAAAGAGGATACTGTGGAGAACTGTGGGGTACTGTGGGGTACTGTGGGGTAATAGGGGTACTCGGGGGTAATTGGGTTACTAGGAGTACCGCAGTGTACTTGATGTACTGCATGGCACATGGTACTACAGTACCCAGTAACCCTTCAGTTCCTTGAACCCTTTAGTACCCTGCAGTATTATTCAGTACTATTCTGCCCTGCAGGGCACTGTGGGGTACTGGGATAACTGCGCATACTGCAGGGTACCCAGTAGTAACCCCCAGTGCCCCCACTATCCCACAGTACCCCGCTGTACTGCCTGTAGTCCCCCGTATCCCCTGGTACCCCCTTGTGCTTTGGAGTACCACCATTAACCCAGAGATCCCCCAGAGTACCCCCCAGTGACCCATATTACTCCTCAGTACCCCCAGTACCCATCAGTATCCCCCAGTACCCCTCAGAATCTGGCAGTAGCCCCAGTACCCCTAGTACCCCCAAGTACCACCTGGATATACAGGATATACATGAGTCAAACATATATCTAGGATATTGGATTTAAAGGATATGCATAGTTCACCATATGCCAAGGATATTTAATATACAGGATATACATAGCCCACCATATACCAAGGATATTGGATATACAGGATATGTATAGTCAACCATATACCAAGAATACTGAGCTGGGAACTTTTTAATAGTGGATATCGGGATTAATGCTTGATCCACTTTTTTCTTAATCTCAAGATTAAATGAGGCTTGTTCTCTTTTTGTTATTAATCTCCAGATTAATTAACCGATCGTGATTAAGGATATCGTATTCCAAAGTTTTCAGATCTGGATATACAGACTATACAAAGTCCACCATATACCAAGGATAATGGATATACAGAATATACAAAGTCCACCATATACCAAGGATAATGGATATACAGAATATACATAGTCCAGCATATACCAAGGATAATGGATATACAGAATATACATAGTCCAGCATATACCAAGCATATTGGATATACAGAATATACAAAGTCCACCATATACCAAGGAT